ACTGTTCAGGATGCTCTAATGCTAATGAGAGTCTGGACTGACAGATTATTACTGTTCCTGAGATTTGGCGCGTTACTGCACACAGGAAACCAGGACAGACGAATCACTGCAACCACCTTAAGATTTCTTCCACATCCTCACTCCTGTCAGAAGCCAGCTGATGATAAAAGATTCATTTAGATCTCATTAACATGACGCCGGTGCAGCCAACAATACAAGTCGACAGAGCAAATCCCTTCCATTCATTGTTGGACCTGAAGTTCAAGCTGAAATTGCTTTCTTCTAAATTATCACGGCACCGTGTGTTCACGCACTGGAACCACAGTAAATGTAGCTACAGTCTGTTTCATTTGCATTTAATTATGGGTGGCTTTTACTCCCTTCATTCCAGGTCTCTGAATTGATCTGAACTGACTGTTTACGAGGGGGGGGGCAAATAGCTGCAAGTAACATCAAGTGCAAATAGAAATGTCATATTGTTTAACACTACAGTACAAAAGTCCCTATCGGCTGCTATTCTGAGAGACTTCTCCTTAAAGCATTTTACCAGTACACTGAAGTCAAACATGGGTGTCAACATTGATTAAAAGGAGTTCTGCAAGTTTCCTCAATATTCCTTTAAATGAAAAGACTTCCAGATGCCACATTTATCTAGTCTGAGGTGGAGATTTCCACAGAAACCCGTCAGTGGTCCACCTGCACAGACACCTGTGGGTTTAATGGGACGTGTTCAAGGAATGATGGTTTGCTTTAGTTTTTTCAGGGAAAATACAGTTGGATTGAATAACCGGGACACTCTTAGTATGGCGACTATAAGTCAGCTCGAGCTCCAAAGGTTACAATTCCTCTACACAACTGTATGGGGGCAAATGAAGCAAACAAGCAAATACCAAAACTGCACTTGTGGCCGGCTCCAAAGGTTGTGTCTGTTGCCACAGATTCCCGTGTTAAAATGCCCAACTTTAAATAAACAAAACATGTTCACACGCTGATACAAAAAAAAGGAAGAAAAAAAAAAGGTTTGGTAACCGGTGTCCCTGCTTCTGCCCACAGTATGGTGGTTCAATCCTAACGTGACTCACATGGTGACATTTCATTAAGGCTTCAAACTGCAGCTTTGAGTCAAATGTTCATTTCTCCACAGAGTACATTTTGTTCTAAGCCCAGTTTTCCTCCAACCACACGTATCAGTGAATCATGTAAGGATGTGCCTTACTAACCAAGCCAGCTCTGGCGTTAACTGGTAACACAAATATGGTGCGCTTGGTTAAAATAAAGTATCTGCATTCATATCATGTATGAATTACAAGTTTCTGCAAACAGGCGCGTTTCTTTTTGTTAGCGTCAAACTATTCTGCTCTGAAATGTTTTCCAAGTCAAAGCATGAGACCTGCCTACCAATGATTTCTCAAGCACAAACATCAGCCTGAAGAAACAAGTGCACACAAATTACATGTTCAAGCCTTTTTCCCCTTTCACTCCATCGTCCCTTTTTACTCGTCCCCATCTGTTGTGCTTAGTTCCCGTCCTCATGGCTTCCCTCTGCTCGTTTTCATCCCCGCTGTGAGGTAGTGGAACTCCAGCTTCATTCTCATCTGCAAACCGACAGTCTGAACGACAACCACGGGTCAGGAAGTGAGTAAATGAATGTCTAAGAGGAGAAACGTCTATAAAACCCAACTTACCTGAGGAAGGCTAGCAGTCTTCCTCATTATCTCACTGTAATCAGAGTTATTGAAGATGTTCTTGTCCTGACCGGGGTCATCTGCTGACATGTACAACTCCCCAGCATGGACGTCAGACACATTCACCTGGATGGAGAGCGGGATGGATGATACAGACAAATTTAATCTGCTTCTCTCCGTCTCCAACATATTGTGAGACAAGATGGATGGATCCATCACGTTCAACTCCCCAGGCTGAGCCTAACACGCTCACTCGGGGGAGAATACAGAGACCGATGCTGATGAAAGGAAGACGACCGTTATGCGGGATGAGTTTGTGGTTACCTACCTGAAATGTTTTGGGATTGAAGCCCAGCCACAGAGTGTACCTGTAGTCCCAGGTGCGCAGAGAGTAACCCATGATCTTTATGTCTTTGAGGTCAGGGAGGTCAGAGTTCTCCTAAGGGAAGAATTTGGAGTTTAAAGCATCTTTGAGCTGGAGAAATCTCATGCAGCGCTGTCAGATCTGCAGCTGCCAGCTCAAACTGCGAGCCAGCTGCAGACAGACTGCCAAACTCCTGCATACAGAGATTAACCTACAGCAGGAGCAGCACTGGCCTGGATACTTTAATACAACGACTGTGCTTGATGGCGGCTCCAGTACCCACACCCACACACACGCCAGTGGCTGACCTCTGCAAATTCAGACATTTAACTACAAATTCATAATCAACTTATTAAAGCAGCATCAAGACACGTCTGTATTAATAACATGCCTGCCTTCTGCTCTGCAATTACTTCCACACTGATACAAAACTAATGAGTTAACCTTAGCTGGCTAATGAGAGCTTTTTCCCCCTCCTTTTTTGAAACAAACTACCTACCTGTGGTGCATCAGCAGGGCGAGGATATTGGCTGAAAGCTACATCTTCTGGAGTCCTCTCGCTTCGCCCTTGTGGCGCAGCGTAGGCACGGTTTTCTCCTTCAGTACACAACTCCACCTGAAGGAAAAAAAAACGGGCTAAACGGGTGAAGGGAGTAGAAGTCGGGGTAGTTGGATCACATTCATGCCTGCCATCTTTGGGCTTTGTTTGGTTTACTTTGTCATATTAACGCAACATCATTTGAACTCCGATCGCAATGACATGATGCTTTAAGCTGCAGATATTAGTTCAGGTACGGTGGGAGGCAAAGAGCTGCTTCACCACTAGAAGGTCCCAAGAAGGTGCTGTGCTTTCTCTTTAGACGAGCATGTTAGGCCCACTCATGGTTCTTAATTGGCTGCCTGATTATCCGTCTCTCTGTGTTAAGAGTCCAGATGGAACGGCGACCTATCCGAGTGATAGGGCACACCCTGTCAGCTCCGAAAGCCTCCAGGCTTCTGCAACCCTGCGTGGATAAGCAGTTAAGAAGATAGATGGATGGAGTTCTCTTCTGGTCTCGTTAGGCAGAGAGTGTAGTATGAACACAGTCTGAAGATCAATGAAAGCCGATTGTAGTAGTCCGGCATGTTCGTAGTGAGAGGCTGCTAATGGACTCGTGTGAACCATTTCAGCTGTTTCGCATATGTGCCGACGAACTGTACAGCCTGGGAGTGGGAACGCCGTCACTTTTGCAGTGCGCAACAACAATGGTGAGAAGAATCTGAGGCCATTTCAGTGATATGAATGCAGAAGCACAGATTTACAGATTATGCAGAGGGAGCTGCTGCAACCCGGAGAAAACAGAGTTCAGAGTTCTTCTATTGCAGCAGTGATGCAGAGGTTTGTCTGATTACAGCCACGCTTACTGCAACAATAGTAACATGTTAGCATTAAGCAGACATTCACAGCATCAATTTATTTTCCGTTTTAATAAACCGCAGAGTTTTTTTTTTTAAAGACTTATAGGCATCAGGAACTTCTACCAGCTGTGGTATTCTCCACTTTGAAGAAAAATCTAGCTCGACATGAACACTTCAGGCGCTCATATCCAACTCAAGTCTCATTGACAGCACAAAGGTGCTGTCCCGAGCACACTGGTCTTTGAGGCTGATGGGAATATCATCTGTTTTGCAGGTAACCAGGTCAAAGCTGCAGACCGATTACAATTTGTTCTTGTGATTAGAAACATAGATTGGAGGTTCATAACCTGATACCTGGAAAGAAATGTCAGGGCACTGCACGGGAACTTCGAGGCCGGCCAGGTAGGACACAGTAGGAAAGACATCCACCAGCTCCACCACCCTACTTCTGACTTTGCCACCTAAGACAGATAAAAGTCACCCAATTACAGACGCCTTAAAAACGAAGCCAGTCAAGATCTCCACTACCATTTACTAAACATCCTCCACTTAAATTTCATGATTATTGCATCACTTGCATTTGAAGTAAAAGCTCTCTGGAGGCAAAATATCAAAGTGTATCCCTGTGTAAATCATTTTTAAGCTCTATATAGAAATCAAAGACTGTATTAATGTTAAACAAGCATATTATTAAATGCTTTTGTTTGGGGGGGGGGTCTTACTTTTGATGCTGTGCACAGATTCCCTTAAGACGTCTATAAACGGGAAGGTTGATGTACCAGCTTCATTGCCACCAGGAACAAAGAAGATCAGAGGTACGCGTGTTGCGACATCAAAATTCGAGTATTTAGCCCATTCACCATGCTCACCCAGTGACCAACCTGCAGCAACAGAAACCCAGGAACACACAGTTCATTAAGACTCGGGCAAACCGGAGACAAAGAAATTGATCAGTCTCAGTCATACAAATAATACTTTTCATTTAAGGCAACACATTTGACTGATGTTTGTCCCAGTCATGAAAATGACGGCATTTGACTGGGCTTTACGCAGTGATTCATCAAACAGTCACACAGAGGATTCAGTCTAGTGCTCTCAACTGAATGAGACATTAAAAGAGAACAGAGTTTTCCAGTCACAAAGCTGAAAAAAACAAAAAACAAAAAAGGTAAGTGGTGCAGAGAAAGAGCTGAGGGTAGAGAGAGTAGAAAAAAAAAAACCTATGGGAAAAAAATCATGGCACAATTTGCTGTTACAACAGTGCCATCTGGTGGTGCAAGATAAACATGACAAGCTCAATAAACCATTTGTTTAATTTGCACAGAACACCTGATAAGATATTTTAGCAACTTATTTTTCTAAATGCTTAAAAAGAAAGAAACAAACCAAACTGATTAACATTAGCTGCCTACATCTCATCCAGCTACGCGTCTCCTCACCATGATCAGAGGTGAACACCACCATAGTGTTGTCTGCCAGCCCCAGCTCTTCCAGTGCACTGAGCAGCCGACCAACTTGAGCATCCATATATGACACTGCAGCATAGTAGTGCTGACGGATACGCAGCTGGAACACAAGATATAAAACACTACAGTGTTGCTGTTCGCTTCAGGAGGAACAACCACGGTAACCAAACTGGAGGTGCTGAGAGCAGCTGGTTCATACCTGGAAGTCTTTTGGTATAGAGCCGTAGGGGAAGCTAATGTTGAGTTTTTGCACATCCTCTCTCTTCCTTATATCCGTCCAGGGGTTGTAGGCCACAGTGGGAAGGCGTTCAGGGACATCTGGGTCGGGGGCCAGAGTCATTTGGTCTAGAGGATACAGGGTCAGGTATTCCTGTGGAAAAAAATCTCAGAATTATTTCTGATTCGGATTTTCTGACACTCCCTGGCCTTTGACCCACCACAAGACATCGATCTCATTGGTTTTTATTGCGTTACAGTTGTACTTTATTGTTTTCAATATTCTTATAGGCTTCTTTTGTCCAAATGAACATTACCGTTAAGCAGCAGAACAACATCTTCCGCTCTTCACACACTGAGCCACCTTTGTGCTAAGGACAGGCTGTTCCCTGAGGGGCTGAGGACTAACTGAATTGCATAGAGTGAGTTACTGTTTGTGGTGTGAATAACCCAGATTCCATCAGCAGTCGTTACGTTTCTTTTCAGTGCTGCCAATCAGACTTTGAGTGCTCACTCCAGGACTGTGCAAACTCATAAATCAGTCAGTATGAGTGAAATATTCAACTAAATGTTTTCTGTAGTCAGGTCTTACAAAACTCCAAGACTTAGCAAGTCTAGTAGAGTAATAAAATATTAAGCAACTGAAATAAAATTAGTAGTATCTTGTTAAAAACACTGCTCTGAGTCGAGGTTCACTACATCATGTTGATCTTTGTCAACTCATTCAAAGTTAGAGCTACAATAGTGATATAAAGTGCAATCAATAAGCTCCACACTTATTCAAAATGCTTCTGATGTCCCCTTTATCTTCTTCAGGGTTATCGTCTCGTGAAGCTATACAGCACTCCCAGCTCTCCTGCTGCTACAGACCATATCTAACATATTTGTGACGTGCTCCTTTCACTGTGTCAAGGACAGCAGCGAGATCCTTTGTTTGAACAGCAGGTTGCTACAGTTCAGGTCGTCTGCACAAACCTTTTCCCTTTGACAGCTTAGATCAGAATTGCCTGACCCTCGAGGGCGAATTCATGGTGCACAACCATGTGAATGTCAAAAACACCAGGCATGCTTCATGCTTCTCCTGAGCCGATGCATCTCCTTCAGGCTCAGTGAACTGCAGTTTCACCCGTGGACTGCAGGCAAAGACTCAAATCTGATCCTTGACATTAAAGTTGACATGATTGTGCATGTTTTTATAAGGACAATGAGCCTTTCAATCAAACCGCATCATTCAGTGAGTTCACTGACGGAGACTATTCTTGCACACAGCGGCTCATTATCCACCATTTGGAAATACTTCAGATTTAGGGCAAGCGTTACTAACAGACAAATCACATAAAGAAAGCTGCAGAGTTGCGTCTGCAACACACAGCAACAAACACCAATCAAACTGCCACCAGTGCAGTGGTTGCTTATGGCTGTGTTCATAAACACAAGCCGCACAGCTCGTCACTCCATCGACCTCACAAAGACCAACGGAAATCACCGCCACAATCACGTCCACTAAACACGGTGAATCTGAAGGCTTCAGGGAAGCTGTCAACTCACAGAACAAAAGATTTGTTTCACCCGGCCTGAGTGCGTTTGCAACTTTATTTAGAAACATGTTTAAACACCAGGACGGCACCACAGTGCAAAAATGAAAGCAGTGACCTGTTTATTTCACTTTGTGCAATTTTTTTATTTATATTTTCCTTCAGGGATTGACTGAATTTAGCATTTGCACATTAGCAGGAATGCAGCACAGCAACATTGTAAAAGTGCTATTTGTCAGAATAATCATAATAAGAATCATCATAATAAATATTCAGGATCTCAATATAGATCAAAGTAATGGGGATAATCATGTTGGCCATAATGGTGCAGCTCTACTCCTCAGTGCTTAATATAAGAGGATTCATCTGACTTATAAAGTCTTAGTTCAAGTCAGAAACTGAGTTATGTGAAACCTGCAAATATTAAGTGACTGGACTGAAGAAGAGAGTCACCGGGAAGTCATATCAATACTTTGTAACTGTACTGCTGTAGCTAACCAACATGTACAGTAGAGTTCAAGCAGTCCAGAGGAACAGTAGGAATGGATAATAAGTGACAAACCTGTGGAATCCTAAAAGGTATATGCGGCTTATGAAAACCCACAGCCAAGAAGAAAGGATCGTCATCGTTGACTCGACTCTTCAGTAACCTCACCGCCTCCTCTGTGCTCTCCAGGTCAGGGAGGGTTCCCCCAGGCTGCTCGCTCACATTCACAGCACAGAGCAAGTTGACGTGGAGTTTCCCATCCTTCCCTTTACACATCTGGAAACAACATTTGTATGAAAATTATGTGACATCTGAAGTTGTGTTGTGGCCACAAAGACTCCAGAATAGACTTGCTTATGTACCAATGTCTTTGGGCTCTGCTGTACTTTAAGTAACATCTTTAGCTGCTAGAAGCAGTTTGATACCCAGTGTAGATGATGCGTTTAGAGGTTTTGTTGAAAACAGTTTTCAGTCATAAATAGAATCAAAGTTCTGCCACAGAAAAGAGTCACAAGGAAATGAGTTAGCACTTTACACTCCCAGTTCCTTTTTTTCTAAACCAATTTAGATCCCTGGAATTTTGGTTAGATGGATGAAATAAGGTCTGTGCTCAACACAGACTTTAGATATTTCCAGGTTTAAGTTGACAACTGAAAATAAGTAAATAACACACTTGGGAATGCTAAAACTTCTCCAGCTGCCCGGACAATGGGACATGACACTGCATGTGTAGCCCAGGAGGTAACTGGTTGGTAGCGTGTATTCTGATACAGGTGAATTATTCCCTGAGGGGGTAGCTCTCAGAAACTGATGAATCACGGTGTGCTAAAGGATCATTAACATTGAGAAACAGGCTCTCCATTTGAAAGGCTCCTTTTATAATAAACACGGTGAAAGTCGTACCTTTTTTTTCTCATATGTGAATGAAGGTGGGTGATAGGCTGGGATGGACCAGCTGTAAGGATAGTCGTCAGTATTGTTGGAGGCAATACCTACAGAGTGAAAAAAAAACAACCATTATTTTCACAGCTATTCTACTGGAAAGTGGTGCATGTGCAGTTCTTTGTGGATTTCTATTCAAAATGCACCTAATTAAACCTACCTGGGTGAAACACCTTGCCCACAGACATAGTGAAGTACCCTTGAGATTTAAAGTACTGTGGCAGAGTCGTGTAGTTTCCAGAATGGACTCTCCAGTAGGAGTTGAAGTCATAGAGCCTGGTTGTGTCCGGTCTCCGACTGGTTAACATGGATACCCGACTGGGACCGCACACAGCTTGCTGAGAGAGGAAAAGAGAGATCCATTGAGGTTAAGCAATGCAGTTCAATTCACCACAGCTAACACGAACAATGCAACTGACCTGCGCAAAGGCATTGAGAAAGACTTGGCCTCTGGATGCCAGCTGGTCAATGTTGGGCGATTTAGCCACCGGATCCCCATAGCACCCCAGAGATGTCCGCAAATCATCTGCCATGATGAAAAGGACATTTTTCCTCTCTGAAAGCAAACACAATCACAGATTACTCACTTTCTCTCCAAGCCCTCAAATCAGCCACGGAGCGCTATGGCACAGTTTCCAGGAAGAGTCACACTAATGTGGGGGTGTACCATTATTCTAGTAAACTTAAAGTAAGCGCATTTAAACACCCAAGAACAGAAACTTAAAAATTGAACCTGAAAATAAGCTGGACGCGTAAAACATACCAAACAAAGCGCCATTCAGTTGGTAAATTAAATTAAACTAACAGCCAACAGTAGCACCAGCCACTGAGTCAATAAATATTCTGCACTCATTACAGCCAATATAAGTTAACCAAGTTACAGTCATTAGAAAGGCTATGAAGTTTTGCTAGCAGCAATCAGATTACACCTGAAGTCCAAACCCCACCTACCTCTCCCCGCGGCAGCAGGATACGTCGACGTGTGAAGGACCAGCAGGAAAAAACACCTCAGGACAAATATGTCCATTTTAGAGGAGCCAAAAACGGCTATAGCGTGATATCCTGACGTTAGCCTCCTGCTGTTCAAACTTCCGCCCTGCGCACTCCCGTCAAAACAAAACAGCGTGCCCGTTTGAGTGATTTAATTACTTCCTGATTAACCAGCTGTCACTCTTCATTGGCTATTTCAGCTACGGCCTCGGCGCCCGCGGCTCATTTGACGAGTTCAGTCACGTGTCAGTCATATTAAATGTCCCGCTGAATACCAGCACCCAGTCTAATTAAAATGAGATGATAGCCGCAGTCTAATGAAACTTTTGCGTTGTAACAAATCAGTTACGTCCCGAGTATCTGCCAGTCAGCCTGCGTGTAGCTTCATTTGTACAACAGGCTCAGAATAAAGAAAATGCAGTTTAATTACAGAGCTGTGAAAACAACTGAGGAGTAAGTAGCCCTAAAAGAGTTAAAAGAAATTCTCAGCTTTCATTTTCACAGAATAAATAGGGGCGATGATCTCTATCCGTTAAATTTACATTAACGTAACTGAAGAATAGGAGGCGAGTGAGAGGTCTCACTCCGCACATTGTTGACTTCCGCAAATTAACCGAATTACCAACAATAAGAAAGAAACTGCTGTTGATGGTACCAGAGCCAAAGAAGAACGATCTGCCTACAAACAGAACGAAAGCTGAAGTGTTTGGAGTGTTGCGGGAAAAAAATAATTTCAAATATATAGATTTATTTATTTTGCAAAATCTATAGGGAACATTCCCTGAAAGCTACTGTTTGCTAAGTGTGAGAGAAAAAAAACGCCCAAAGTCATTGTTTTGCCGTTACAGTTATTTAATTATTGAATAAACAACTCAAAAAACAAACAAACATGAGAGTTACTATAAAAAGTAATAATAAAGTAATAATAATCATAAATCCAAAATAATAAAACTACATAAATAAATAAATAAATAAACCAACTGGAAACTATATAAACAGGAGAATGAATACTAAAGTCAATAAGTACAAATACAAATATCAATTTATTAAATTTTACAGATAATGAAATGAAAACAATGTTAATATACATTCTTAATGTTATCTTACATGCATTTAATAGCATATTTGTTATTTAATAATATTTATTTTTGAGTCGGGGTGAAAACATCGTGTACACGATCTTCGAAGCAGCGACACTGAACATGGCGGACACGAGCGCCAAACGTCTACTCGACAGCGATAAAACTGGTGAACCAGCTCCAGACGTCAAGAGGGGGAAAACTGACAATGAGAATGGGCGAGAAGATGGAAATGAGTCGGTCCAGGAAAATGTTCTGTCTGGGTTCAAAACCTCAAGCGTGTTGAGTGACTCCGCCCGAGAGAAAAACATCTTTATCCACGGAAAGGTAGCGTTGTTGCAAAGTTAGCTACCGTTGCTCAGTGTACAGACCATATGCAGCTATTTGTTACTTGTAACTATTGTTACAGAGTTGCAAGCGGCGTTTTAAAGGAAGCCGTTTTTGAAAGTGGCTTTTGAATGATTGGTAAGGAACTGTACGACACTAGCTTCCGGTTTGACCTTTCAAAATAATAGTCATTTGTTTTGTTTTTGTTTTTTGTAAACCAGGCCTGATAGGAACTTTGATCTTATGGTATCTTACTATGATCTTAAGGTTGCAGATCAGGATGCTGTGGTTATCCTTGAAAAGACCCCGATCAGAGAAGACTCACTGGCTGAGCTCTTTAGTGGTTCCACACTCAAACTGGAGATGAAAAACGACATCTACAGCACATATCGGCTCCAGGCTCCCCCTCATCTCAATGGTATGCTACCCCACTAGTAAACTGTCTGAATGTTATGTGATGTCAGTCAGATAACCTGCGTGTTTCTGTTATACAGAGATTAAGACCACACTGGTGTGTCCAGCCACTGAGAAGCATATAAAGAAATACCAGCGTAAGGAGAGTTTCCTGGTCGAGGAAACGGAGGCAGACTATAAGAATATTACTCTACCCCACATTGTGAAGCAGAGTTTTAGTGTGCAGGTCAGTCTCTTTGGAGTACCTCTTCTGCTCCAGTCTGCTCTTTGGAGTGCACATTGCTCACTTTTCCCTGATTTTTACCTTGCAGTGGGTTTACAACATCTTGGAGAAGAAGGCAGAGGCTGAAAGGATCGTTTATGAAGATCCAGATCCTGACGTCGGCTTTGTCCTCCTTCCGGATTTCAAGTGGGACCAAAAACAGGTCAGAGGCCACTAATGTTGACACTGCTTCACTGACTTTAAAACCTCATGATCAACCAGAATAAACTAGAACATGATTTTACACTAAAGCTCTGGCATGTTTTGCAGACCTCATTTCTATGCAGACAATCATATATTTACATTTACAGTGGCACAAACACTATTCTTCTGTACCTCTGTAATATTTCATTTAGCATTGCATGACAACTCCAGGCTGGAGCATTTTAACATTATAATATACATTTAGATGCAAAGTGGTAAGATTGGAAAGAATGTTCTTGAGCACAAAAGCCCAAAATGGAGTGCACCAATGTGCTTATGGAACACCTTCATGCAATATTCCCTTTATTGAAAAATAAGTAAATAAATCACAGTCTGCCATTATTTGTATGATTAACACAATTAGACTGATCGATCTACAGTTTTCCTTAATGATTGTGATAAATGGTAATATCTCAAACCTGATGTGTCTTTTGAAAATGAAACTTTGGAGAAAGTAACTTATTTGTGTTTTATGATGAACTTGCCCTACGCTGGTTACGGTTCATGAAGAGGACATACAGTGTAACTGATATAGTAAGTCTTTTGGCTTAAGGCTTTATGTTAAGAGTGTAAATTTACACAGTATATGTGCAGGTGTGATTAAACCTGCACATATACTGGCCTGCAGAGGGCAACTTCATAGAAATCTATGGAAAAATGGCCCTGAGTTCCCACTTCTGTGACGTCAGAAAAACCTTCCTAATGACATTTTTGGGCTGAGTCGCTTTTTTCAGGTCATAGTAACTAAACCATGGGACTCTGCTAACAATGGCACTAGCTAGCTTGGTTAGCAAGGCAAGTTTTGGCTAGTGAAAAACTTCCCTAGAATGTACTCGTACGTTACAGTTCAGCGAATATACTAGAAAAAGCATCTGCCTGTCAATTAAAGTTGCACCAATACTGCATAACTTAATACAATCCTTAATGCAATTTAAACTGGTTAGCTATATAGAAATTCACTCCCTTGCTCTGAAATTGTATTCCCTAACATGGGGTCACTGTGGATTAACTCTTTAGTGAGCCAGCTTCAAGCAGCCATTCAAAGAACTATAAGCTTCATTTTTCAGCCCCTGGAGCTTTTTACTCAAAAGCTTACTGGATGGCGAGTTCTTGGATTTTTAGACCACTTAACAGCCTCAGCACATCTGTCTTCTTTCAGGTGGATGATTTGTACCTCATTGCAATAGCACATCAGAGAGACATCAAGAGCCTTCGAGATCTGACATCAGAGCATGTCCCGCTGCTGCAGAACATCTTCCAGAAAGGAAAGGTGGGATTAAAGTGATCCTCAGGTCTCAGTTAAAGAGAGCTATATGCATATCAATCATCTTTACTCAATGTGGCTTCATTCATTCTCTGCGATGATATCTGTGTAAATTAGGAAGCCATTCTCCAGCGCTACAACCTTCCAGCCAGTAAGCTGAGAGTCTACCTGCACTACCAGCCCTCCTATTACCACCTGCACGTCCACTTCACCAAGCTGGGCTATGACGCGCCGGGCTGCGGTGTGGAGCGAGCCCATCTCATCGCTGATGTCATCCAGAACCTCCAGTCAGACCCCCAGTATTACAAAACACGGACACTCTACTTCCCCCTGAGGGCAGATGATGGACTGCTCAGTAAGTTCAAGGAGGCAGGGAGGCTGTAATGAACTAAACTCAGAGCACCATCCACCGCCTCTCTCTCTCCATCCAAACCGTGAGCTTTACAGCTTTTTTTTTTGTTTTGAATGCTATCAGTTGGCTTGACATGCTAATGTTCATGCTACTCCAGCCCATAACTTTTAATCCATATCAAATATTGTCTCTGTAAACTGGATCATCCTTTAATGCCAGTTCACAGCTCTGTTCATTATGTTGTAGAACAACGTTATTGACACTCTGATCCGGTTTGTAGTCTGTTTTTATGACTTTTCTGTTTTTTCAAAAGTAATTTGTATATTTCTGATGTTTTTTTTGTAGTCGTGTCAGAAATTGTTATTAGTCTTGTTGTGATTAAAAACACAACAGTAGATGAAGCATTTTTTAATCAGTGTGTTTGATGTGCTTTTTGACTGAATGTTGTCAACTAAATTAAAGTACGTTTGGTTTCTAACTCTTTAATAAAATGTATTAAGTTTGCAGTGTTGGTTTCAATAATCCCTCAAAGACATAATTGGTTTATTATAACCAGGCCTATTATTCTTGCCTTATTTTCTGACATAATGAACAGAGGGGGTTACACCAAGCTCTGGGATAAGATCTATACGGACAATTTTAAACTGTGAATCATGGAAAGCTAAACTGGTACAGTCCAAGAGCCCAACTAATACCAACAACCAAAATTAGCTTTTAGCTGCTGCATCTGTATCTGCATTTATAATGACTGATATGTCAAAAATTAAAATGCAAAGAAGCCTTTGAAGAAACCCATGCAAGCATGTTGTGATGGTTGATGTTGCACATTTTGTCCAACAGGGGGCATTCTATAGCTTCACTGTTGGCAGCGTGTTTGGACATGCTTCTTTATCATATCACTGGAATACATGTATAACAGCAGAGAATCCAAAGCCACAGTTCCTCAGCTGCTGCACTAGATGATAGTATAAATCATACGATGATAAGACATTCTTGTGCATGTGCTAGACTGTAAAACTAAATCTCCAGTCTGGGTAATATCATGAGTCTCACTTTTTTCTCACTTTGTCATAAAAGAAAGCAAATTATAAAACCTTCTTTTGCATATAAACACAACCACTTTTAACCAAAATACGCAATGAAGTTGCACTTCGTTCATTTTCTGTCATATATACACTTTAACAGTGTTGATGTCCATATTAAACAATGTTTCAAGTGGTGAGGTCAGTGCATGTACAGTAGAAGTAATCCTGAAGGTCAGGCTCGAAACTCTCAGTTTAAAGCGACCGAACCTTCTGTTTGAGAGGAGCAGCCAGTTAGAGGAGGCTCCATGAACTGAGGGGGCGGGTCTACCAAGGCCCAGTATGAGACAAATAAAGATTATATCGAATTGTCATACAAAGCTGCTGTAGCATTCCGAGAATAAAAATAATACACACACAATGAAAAATGGAGCTAGCAATAAGCATAGCAGGTTCTCTTTAACTTAACACC